AAAAAGAATAGGAACAAATAGGAAGAATGGGTAGAGGAAAAGAAATACAGAATGGGAAAAGAAAAAAGAGAAGAATAGTCTGTAATCAGCTAAGGATAATGTATCGTAAAGATACTCACTAAATTAGATAAAATATGGAAAGAGATTTTTCATGGCATCTGCAGGATAATTTTGGTGGTAGACTGCAGGACAGGAACAAAGAAATGCCTAAATCAGTGAAACAGATCACGAGGCTATTTCCTAACAAAGTGGCCATCCAGTTACCTGAGGTTTGAGTTTGAGCCTTTTTGCTCCTTTTTAGTGGTCTAGAGCCATTTGTTTCTTTTCTAATTTCATTATCTTTCGTTCTTAAAACATTAAAGGATGAAGCTTTGCTGGTGGAATGGAAGGATAAACTTGAACGTGACACAGCGATCCTGAAGGCTCAAGCTAATATTACCAGCATCCGTGCAGTAAGCATCTTTCAGTGAAATCCCTTGTCTATCTATATGCTCTTGTATATTTTGTTGTTGTTGTGTGTGTGTGTGTGTGATTATTTCTTTATGTCGCTGTTATTGGTTCTTGCAGGTCCTAAGCAAAAACCATCTAGTATGCCCTGACCTTGAAACTTTGTGCATCAAAGATCAAACCCTTCCTTCTGATAGTAGGCATCTTTAACATTTTTCCTTGACTATTATTTTGAACTATTCGATTATTTGTTAACTCACCTATGATTAATAGGTGTGGAGAAAGTGGTTGGCTGGGCTTACGGCTACCATCTTAGGAACTGCTCAGAACCCGCGGTCATAGACAATAAGCTTATAATCTCGGCAGAAAGGTGATCCTTCGATACTGAAATATAGATCATGAGGATTGCGGTTGTGAAATTTTCTTGCAAATAACCCTTTGGTGTGTGTTGCAGCATCACATCTAGCCTGAAGTTGTTACACGAAATTCAAAACGAACACAAGAGCACAAAGAAATCTCTCAAAGTAATAATCATAAATCTGATGCTACTTTGCCTCCCAATTGACTTTTGGAATTTTAACAGTTACTTTATTAATATAGGATGTTGTTACTGAGAATGAATTCGAGAAAAAACTCCTATCAGATGTCATTCCTCCAAGTGATATCGGTGTATCTTTTAGTGATATCGGGGCTTTGGAAAATGTTAAAGACACCTTGAAGGAGTTAGTGATGCTTCCTCTACAAAGACCTGAGTTGTTTGGCAAAGGCCAGCTTACAAAGGTAGCTACTAGTTTTTCAAATATCTGTTTCACTCCATCTCTGGAAACTGAATTTTAACTGTTTTCTTCATGCAGCCTACAAAGGGTATACTGTTGTTTGGACCGCCTGGTACGGGGAAGACAATGCTGGCAAAGGCAGTAGCAACTGAGGCTGGTGCGAACTTTATCAATATTTCAATGTCCAGCATTACTTCAAAGGTATTTATTACTTGAAACGGCATCCTGACTCTGTAGTATATCCTTTGAGATTAGACTTGACATCTAGATTTCTTGCAGTGGTTTGGCGAGGGAGAGAAGTATGTTAAAGCTGTTTTCTCATTAGCAAGTAAGATAGCTCCAAGCGTCATTTTTGTTGATGAGGTATGTCGCATGACGTTAAGAACAGCTCTCCACCGCCTTACATTTTCTGTTTCCTTCTGATTAACTTTTGAACGGGAACAAAATGTTTTAGGTTGATAGCATGTTAGGAAGACGTGAGAATCCAGGAGAGCATGAAGCTATGCGTAAAATGAAGAACGAATTCATGATAAACTGGGACGGCTTACGCACAAAGGATAAAGAAAGAGTTTTAGTACTGGCTGCTACCAACAGACCATTCGACCTTGACGAAGCAGTAATTAGACGGCTTCCCCGAAGGTAGTAAACCTTGTGTAATTCTCTGCTTTCTGTGTGTCTGTCATCATCTTCGAAGCATCGCTTAGATCTTGATCGTCTGTGCAGGTTGATGGTTAATCTCCCTGATTCAGCAAACAGATCGAAGATCTTGAACGTAATATTGGCGAAAGAAGAGATGGCGCAAGATGTAGATTTAGAAGCTATAGCAAATATGACAGATGGGTACTCCGGGAGTGACTTAAAGGTCTGTAGTTTTCCTCCATCCAAAGCAATAAACCTGAAAAATCCGTTTTCATAAAAACCACATTCTAAACAACAATGGTTTGGGTTTTGCAGAATCTTTGTGTGACGGCGGCACATCTTCCTATCCGAGAGATTTTGGAAAAAGAAAAGAAGGTTTGGTTTCTGTTTTAAAAACAGAAATGGGTGTTGATATGTGGTTTTCGATGAATTAAAAACAGGAAGTCATGTGGTTTTGTTGAATCGCAGGAGAGAAGTGTGGCTGAAGCGGAAAACCGACCAGTACCTAAGTTATATAGCAGTACAGACGTTAGACCCTTGTCGATGAATGATTTCAAAGCTGCACATGATCAGGTTTGAGAGAAAATGAAAACACAAAGAAATCATAGTGTCAGCGTTTAAGTCCACAAATTTTGGGATTTTAAATGGAAAGTTTTATTTTGTTGTTGTTGTTGCTATAGGTATGTGCGAGTGTGTCGTCTGATTCATCGAACATGAACGAGCTTCAGCAATGGAACGAGCTGTATGGAGAAGGAGGATCGAGGAAGAAGACATCACTGAGCTACTTCATGTAAACATGAGAAAGAAGAAGAAAAAAGAGAGGTTGTGTTTTTTTTTTCATTTATGAATATTATTAATTTATATATCTCTCTCTCCTTCGAAAGAGAGAGAGAGAGAGAGAGAGAGAGAGAGAGAGAGAGAGAGAGAGAGAGAGAGAGAGAGAGAGAGAGAGAGTCCTCTTGAATTGTTTAAAAATGGTTTTGTTTGGGAGTCCCTCCCTCCTCAATTCTTTTCTTTCTCCAATCATAAAACATCATCAAAAAGATGAGAGATGTACAATATATTTATTTTTACATTGCTTGATGTAAGTTATATGATGATGTTTCTATGTATATATAGGGATTTTGGAGATGGTTTAATTTCTAATTTAATTGATTTCTTCAGAAAACACCCCTCTTTTATTTGTTATTTTTGGCTGAAATGGCTTGGTCATTGTGAAATTATACGATTGGGATGATGGGTTGATGGGTTGAGTTGAGGGAAAGAGACAAAAGAAGGAAGCAAGTGGAATCGATCGTACAATAATAATAAATACAATTGAAAGTGACGCCAACGGTTCACATTATATCAAATAATAAGTTGTGCTCTGTCTCTACAAGTTGAAATGAATTTGCTGTTTCTATAGAGTTGCGACTGAATGAATACAAATGTAAGATAAAGTCTGCCTTTACTTGTGACGTTGATGATCCTACTTATGTGGGCAGCTACAGAGAATATCGTCAATAAAAAAGAACAGCCCAAACAACAAACTATAAAAATCAAACTAAAAAAAAAAAAAAAAAAGGTTACACACCTTTTCGTGGTTAGGAAAAAGCAAGTCACGTACGTATGCCGGAAACGGTAATAATGTTAAATAATTGAAACAACTGACAGAATGAGATTGAGACGTGGCCATCTTTGAAAAGTCAACGTTTGGCCGCTTCGGCGGTGACGGTGCAGTGCCTTTTATTTACACCTCTAGATTTGTGTTTATGATTTTTTTTTTATAATTCTATATACCGTCTATTATATTATTAAGCCAAGCAAGGCTATACTTTAATTTTATTTTCGATTTTCAAATTTTCGTTGTTAAGATTTTGTTATAATTAAAAATTTAGAGAAAAATAAAAAGAGACAAATCGTATTTACCACTAATGTTGTTAAATATTTAAACCACGATAGATAAATCGAAATAGTTATATTATCAGTTATAAATAATTTTGCTTATTTTTCTGACAACAGAAAATATGAGTACTATATATATCTTTTACAAAATTTCCTTTTTTATAAATAACATCTGTAATTAAAAAAAATTAAAAACATTTTCTTATAGACAATAATTATTTTCGTGGTTGTAAAGTGTAAACATAAAAATTACAGAATATATCCAGCGAACATATAATCTGACGAAAGGAGTCAATTTCGAAGAAGAAAAAGGTACAAACACTTTCTCCCTAATCGTGCTTTGTCTCAATTTCAACCTTTTTGCGATTCATATCCGAATTGTCTCTTCCCTAAATCCATGGCTAATTTCAGGGTTTCATTTGAATGCTTTTCGATTTTATGAGTTCTGGGTTTTGTTTTCTATATCTTCTAAGCATCACATCTGCTCAAAAGTCTGTAAATTTCCAGTAAAGTTCTCAACTTTTTTTTCAAAGTTTTGATCTTTCTGCAGATACAAGATATATGGATCTTAATTTAGGTGAGAATGAGATTCTAAAGGCTCGGATCAAACAACTTGAACTTGGTACGTGTTCTCAATTTCTCAACTGCAGTTTCTTTTGTGTGAGTTAGTATAGTACAAGTCTCTTGGTGTTATGTAGTTATTTAGACACTTGGACATGTTTCTTGGCTTTGTAACAATGCTTTTTAGTCTTACATTTACTTCTCTGAAGCCTTCTTAAAGTGTATCTCTGCCTTTTCAGATGCAAAAGATGGTTCCTTTTAGTTATCTACTTTGTGTTTTCTTCTTATAGCGATGGATGTAATGGTTCACTCTTCAAGCTTTCTCCTTCCTTACAATCCAGCCGAGGAAACGAGATACGCTCTCGTTGTTCTTAACCAGAATCTGCCACGATTCACTCCTCTTCTCTGGGAACATGGTACCTTCTTCTCACGCTCTTTCTACAACTCTGTTTGAATTTAGGGGTTTTTTGCTTTTTTTTCTCTTACAATTTTTTTGGTTTCGATTTCTGTATAGAACAGCAACACTTCGTCTCTGTGCTGATGGTGGCGCTAATCGCATCTACGACGAGTTACCTCTCTTCTTCCCTCATGAAGACGCTTCCTCCATCCGAAACAGGTTCTCCATTTAATTCTCATCTTCATTTCTTTGCATATATATATATATATATATCTGTACAGATGACACTATTTGTTTAGCCTCCCCCACTGAAAGTGCCTCAATTTTAAGCTGGAGATTGTTTTGTACAAGAGTCTTCTTATATTCTCCTTGTTCACTTATGTTTTAGATTAGATTGTTTATACATAGAACAAAACTATTTCAGGTATAAGCCTGATGTGATCAAGGGAGATATGGATTCTATTCGCCGTGATGTCCTCGACTTTTATGTGAGCTTGGTAAGCTTATCGTCCGATTTTACATATATTCCTTGCCTTTCAAGAATCTTTATCCCAAATCCATCACAGTGTTTGTTTGATCTTACTTTGCTATGCTTTTGATTTCTTATACTTTTGTTTGTGCCTTTTCAGGGTACCCAGGTCATAGATGAATCTCATGATCAGGATACCACAGATCTTGATAAGTGCATTTTGTATATCCGTGACTCTGCTTCCAATCTAGAGAGTTCTAGAGTAAGTTCATCTTTCAATAAAGCTCTCTGCTTTTTCTTTGTCTTCTCTTGAATGTTTTGCACCTTTTTCTTTATTTCCTCTGCCAGTTCCAGATTCTTGCCACTGGAGCACTCGGGGGAAGATTTGATCATGAAGCTGGTAATCTCAACGTCTTGTATCGATATCCAGACACAAGGATAGTCCTTTTATCTGATGACTGCCTCATCCAACTCCTTCCAAAGAACCATCTACATGAATTACACATTCAGTCTTCACTTGAAGGTCCTCACTGTGGACTCATCCCTATTGGAACTCCTTCTGCCAAAACCACAACCTCAGGGCTTAAATGGGATCTCAGTAAGTAATGATTTTGCATCATCATAATCTTCATCAGCATCACCAGGTCGAATCTAACAACTATTGTTTATATCTGTTTGTTATAATTGTCTTAAAAGGCAACACTGAGATGAGATTTGGTGGGTTGATAAGCACATCAAACTTGGTTAAAGAAGAGAAGATCACAGTCGAATCGGATTCAGATCTTCTCTGGACTATATCTATCAAGAAAACAGGACTTCCGCTAGAAAACAATACACCGTAGGCGCTGTTAAAAAAATAAGACACTTAGACCAACATCTAAGATACCCCAATATTGTTGCTCTTAGTATAGAGCTACTATGATATATTCCAGATGAATGGAATAACCTCAACATTGTTTTGTTGCACGAAGTAATTACTTGGTTGTACCAGTACTGTCGTTTTTGGAACACGAGTTGCTTTTTTATGATATTATTTCTTTGGTTTTGTCATAACAACAAAATAAAAGTGATTGGATGTTGTTGGCTACTTTTATTTA